GGGGACAACAGTTGGCACAGCGTCTGTCAATGTGACAGGCGACAAGCATCGCAACATGGAGTCAGAGACGGAACCAGCCGGAGTCGAAGTCGAATTCAAAGTTGTGGCCGGAGAAGCGATCTCAGCCAGCGGCATCTCCGCTAGCGGCATGCAAATCGATCGCATCGACAGCGGGCACTTCAATCGGTTGTCGCCTCGACGCAGCTAAAAATGTTTCAATTAAATATAAATAAAATATTCCGCACCATTGCATGTGCCTACTCGGCTTACAGCACGCCTTTTACGGCTAGTCGCAATTGGCATAGTCTAGTGGCAACCATACAGCACACAGCCACACAAGTGAGCCAAGTGAAGGTGTTTCACTGGATAATTGCATGCAACATGGAGTTAACTATAACTATAAGCTATGCACTTGCCGAGCACCACATGAACGACCACCAGCAGCCATCAGTACCATGAATTATGAATACCAATTTTCCCGCCGGCCACCTGACGGCCCTCATCTTGCCTCCGCTATTGCGTGTCCATTTGTTTCGGGTATCAATTTGAAGCGTTGGCAATAGGGCTGGGCAAGCATTATATTTCATAATCACAGTGATCAAAACTTGATGTTGCAAAATATCAGGCAGCAGCACTAAAGTGGAGCGTACATTCTAGTTGGGCACAAATTCTACTAAAGTATAACTGCATAAGTTAACAAAAATATTGACGTGTTAGAATGTTAGTAAAAACCAATTTTTCATTTTAAATGATATATGAAAAGAAAATTAGTATTTTCCAACCCAATTTCCAACCTGCATGCAATGAAGCATCTTCGTATAAAAAGTAAACCTTATCAAAATAATAAAAATTTCTACAACTCTAGTCAGCACTGACAAAGCAAATAGATATCTGCTGTGAATATTAGAGTATTATTTGTATGTGCGTAGTATCCGTATAACGTTTCACCATAAAGTCTAATATCCACTCCACGGTATATGCACTCCACATATAGATGCATAATATATTAAATAGATTTATATAATGCTATTAAGGAGCTAAGTAAATAAAAAGTTCAGTGACATTTAATATCATAGTCCCTAACAGTTGCCATGCTGTGAACCATCTTCAGTTGCGTCGTTTGCATTTGCCATCTATCACAGCCAAAGCCAAATTGTATTTTGCATAAAGTTGCAAAGTTGCAACGTTACGTTGCAGCCTGCAGGGCTTGTTCGGATGTGCATTCGCATTCGCAATGTCAACGGTACTTTGCGGTCATAAAACGTTTAGCCAGTAAACGCGTCGTCTATCTGGCCCCGGCTGTTGGCTGATGGCTGATGTGTCAACTGTGCGGCGATTGCAGCTTGCAACCTGTTGGCAGACGCAGACACGCTGTGGCACAACCAACTAATTATGAATCAAATAAGCGAGCGTCTGTAGAATTGTCGCCGATGTAGCATTAATAATGCAATATTTAAGCATTGAGTTTATTGGCGGCACCTACATGAAATCATCATTAAATGTTGCAGCCGACATTGTTGTTGCGTCGCCGCAGAACTCGTTTGCCGCAATTTGCGGCATTAGCAGATGTTGCAGACATGTTAGCTCCTACACAACATTCGACCCATATCAGCCAGGCCAATTGATGTGACTTCCGTTCTGTCTAAGCTGAAGGCCTCAGCCAAAAGCCACAGCTACAGCCCACAGCCCAAAGCCAGTAGCCCAGGAAGTGGCCAAGACACTGTCTCGGCCAAAGACGGGCTAAGACTTTTCAATATAAATCAATTGCGATATTTGCCCCAGCGCATACGAAAGTAGCAGCAAACGGAACTGGGCGCAAGGCATACGTCAATATGGGAAAGGACATGCGAATTGGCAAAAGAGAATCTCAAGACATTTCAAATTTAAAATGTGATTTCGCCAAACACACACACACACACACTCACACACACTGTCATGTATAAGTAACTGGAGCCACACACATATGCCAAGTCAAATTGAAAGGATAATTCGCCCGCAAACACCCTCCTGGGTATGCAGCCCGCCCGGAGACTCAACGCGACTGCTATTCGACTGCTCCCAGTTCCCCCTTGCGCCCTTCGACTGCTGATGGCATGCTAACACGCCTTTGAATTTGCCAATTGCTGTTGGCGCACGTACAAAACACTTAAATTTGCACAGCGGCAGCCAAGACACAGTCAGACTCAGGCCAAATGCATACGTATGTATGTATATATATGCTACATTTATATGGTTACATATGTACAGATGTAGTCCGCAGCCGGCCAGGAGCCGCAGTCGTACCCAGGCAATAGGATGCCAAAGAGGCAGCGAGCACGTTTAAGAAATAGAATTTTTAAGCAAGTGCGTTCGAGTCGGTCCAGGACTAAGTCCGAGTCCGTATTCCATGTATGTACATTCTTTAAGGTTTGTTTTTGCTTTGTTTCCATTTGCTACTCTAAATTGTGTGGTCCCATAGACTTAGTCAAACCATTTAAAGTTCCTTAAATATACGTTAGCAGCAAGGATGTATGTTTTGGTTCTTTATCATACTTTAGGGTTAAGCTCGTAGTTAATACAAATATGGAAATTGTAGGCTGAAGTTCGGCTCAGTTCCAAAGCTATTTACTTTACAAAACAGAAAATTGTTGACGGTTTCTCGCAAAGTGGGGAATTCATCTTTCGCTAAAACTACAAGGAGCAGACACAGGGTATCGGCCAGTCGTCTGCAGGTTGGAACTCCCTGTAGTAGCATTTCCAAGTGCACTTGAGCGTCTCACAGATTTACAGCTAATGAATAGCGCCTGGTTCAATATGATTTCTTGCACGATTTGTTTGTTAAAAGTCAATTAGTTGATAAAGCAGCTAAGAGCCGCTGAAGAGCAGCTGTAGCTCTTAGTCAGTTGGTCCATTTGTCTGCTGGGGGTAGCCCACACACTAGTGTAGCGTTGGCGGCTGTGGCTGCGTCGTCTGCTGCCACAGTAACTGCCACAGCCACTGCATAATAAATTCGCTAACCACGTAATGCTGCAGCTGCAGTGCAGGGATTTGGTATACATTTTTTATGCGCTGCCCGCCCGCTTCCAAGTGCAGGAGACACTGGCAAAAGTTTAAGAAAAGTCAACAGTTAACAATGCGGCTTCAACGTGTCGCCCGTGCGGATGCGGATGCGAATGAGGATGCGGATGCGGATGAAACCACAGCAGCAGCCGCCGCAGCAGGGCTAAAGTTCGTGCGCTCTAATGGCATATTGCGGGCAAGTGCTAAAGCGAGCCAACGGCGCTCCGGGAATATGGTATAACCAGTATGTGAGTGTGTCTTCAAGTGCTTGGGGCTCTGTGCCCTGGGCATAGAGTTTGGCTATGCTTGCTAGTTTAGTTTGCCTTTAAAATGGCCGAAACTTGCTGCTAATTGGATTTGTCAACTCAATAAAAACTGAATTAAATGCGTTTTGATGGTGTGACTTAATGTTGGTATTGGGTTCCTTGACCAGTCACCAGCTAACAGCTACCAGCTACCAGACACCAGTCACCAGCTCGCAAAAAACTTGGCAGGCAGCATGCATAGACAAGTAAGCAGCCGCAGCTAGTTGCAGGACCAAAAGGTATTTGTTTGGTCGCAAAACTTTTGCATATTAAAATGTCATAAAAAGCAATGTGCAAGGCAATTTCCGCTGCCAATTGCATAAAAATTCTGAACAGAAAACAAAACAAAAATCTGTAGCTCTTTTATGCTTGCATACCAAATACATTGCAAGGCAACGCTGCGTATGTATAATTTTGGCAGCTGCACCACAAGAGAGATAAAATGTCATTAAGCCAGAATGCGGCACGCACAAGGAGTCCAGAGCAACTGCAGCTGTGACTCTGACTGCGACTGCAACTCAAGCTGAATCTGTTCAGCTGCCCACACAGTGGTCAGTGTTTGGCTTTGGCTCATTGCGTGACTGCGGCGGCGATGGCGACGGCGACGGCAACTGCGATTCCGATTCCGATGACGCCTTCACATGCCGCAACAGCAGGATGCGAAGTGGAGCCTCCTGTTGGCCAGATTACGCGCACGATATGCTAATTTACATGCAGTGCCAGGGCCCAGGAGGAGTCTTGTTGTGGGCGATCGATGGCCATGCGAGGCCGAGACCGAGGCCTGCAGCTCCGACGCTTGCGGCCGCTCGGCCTACGGGGCACCCTGATCGATATCTGGCAACTGGAAAAAAAGTGGTAAGTACAAGTAATCGAGTTGTAATAAATTTAAAGTGTGGAGCACCCACAAAAATACGCCAAGGCAAACTTGTTGCACGCATATTGACACACGCACAGAAGCACGACCAGGCCTGGAGAAGAGAGCAGTGAAGCAGGGTACGCAAGAAAGGCCCAGTCAAGCTGTTGATTTTCAGCAAACATTTCACCTGCTTGGCTGTTTGGCTGTTTGGCCTGCCGGCTGTTGAAAGTTCGACCCGAGGGGCTATTTGCTAAGTATTTTCACGTTGCGGTTGCGACCACTTAAAATCGACTGCCTCAAGTTGTTGCCACAGCAGTTGCAGTTGCATGCAACAAGCGTCAATCACCCGCACAAAGCCAAACCGTTCGCTTCACTGTTATGGAAAATTGTTGATTTGCCGCTTGATTGCGTGCATGGAGTACAGTTGGGGTGCTCGGAAAGCAGCCTGCAGCCAGAGTGCAGCGGCTATTGGCAAAGCCATCAAGTGTTTATGGATGCGATGTGAAGTGCAAAGCCCAAAATACCGACAAGCACCGGGAAACGGCAATGAAAGTGATGGTCAAATGATCTCCACAGCAGGGATTTTTAACAACAATTAAGCAAAATTTCATTTGTAAACTCGGAGAGCGAAAGTTCGAATATAGCAAGTGAATTTTGAATCTTTTTATAAGAAAATATATTCAAATTCTTAATAATAACAGTTGTCAAGCACATCCAAATTAAAATGACGAATAATCAATAATTCACATTTATTATTTTGATCAGAAAGCTTTAAGGCCAAATGATGTGGTCACTTAAGCTTAGCCAGTTATTGATTTCAATGCATCTGGACTAAGTCCCAATGGTATTTGCAGACCTTCTTTTGTAACATAGGTGTACTTGGCTATATAGCCATTACGACCAGCTTCATAGGTAACAATCAGAGTTCCGGATTGAGGTTCAAACTGCTGGTTGAGCTGACCCTTAACTAGAAACTCTCCAGGTGCAATCTCTTCCACGTTCTCCTCGCGCACAGCGCCAAGCTGATTAATTCTATGTGTGAATAAGTTTATCAGCTTCAAATAGAAAATATTCCAAAAAATTCTTCTACCTAAGTGTGTATTTATTGTCATTTATGGGCTCCAACTGAACATTGTCATTTTGGATACGTGGAACCAACGCCGAAAGAGCCGAGTTGGCAAAGAGAACCACAAGTAACTGTTCTGCAGAAAGTAAACTTTAAATATGAAATATTAAAAAAATCTGTAGCTTACGGAAATAAACAAATTCGCAGACATGTCGTTGTCGATCTTTCTGTGTCTGTATCTGGCAACCAACTAGATTGGCAACTCCCAACGACTCATCTTCAAGTCCAAAAATCTAGTCGCTTTACTTTATTTAAGACACAAACGAGTTTTGCTTCTTCACGACTATCAAAAGTCAACAAAAAAATTAAGCGACCTTAAGCTTCAAATTGTGTGAAGGCCGCAAATACCCTAATGCGTAATACAGGAAAACTCATTGCAACCGAATTTCTGCAACAGGCAGCACAAGATGTTCCAAGACTGCTTGTAGTTGCAGTACAATAAATCTTAATTATTAAATTGGCCAATATTGGCCTGTTTTATAACTTTTCCAAGACGCGATGACAACAAGTTAAAGTGATTTAATCGAGAATACCCGACGATTGGATACCCTGCACTCAGTGTTTGGTTATGACCAACATTTTTGACCACACTTCTATGCACTCGCTCGTTACGCTGCCTTAACTCTTCCTGGATAAAACTATCAGGTTTTCATTTAAACGAACCTAATTAAGCTGTTTTATTTCTGAAAGAAATTACCCCGCGTCGACAGGGGCAAATGTATATGGTATTACAATGTATAATGTTGTCGCGCTAACTTCTGACAAATACAAATGTGCTCAAATTAACACCATGCCCCTTTCAATATTATTATTGTTAACTTCCACTTTATTTTTGTTTTGTTTATATATTATTATTGCTTTTTCTTTGCGAATAATAATAATTTAAAAAACAAATAAAACAAATAAACAACTTCATAATTCCTGCTGAATTTAAGCTAGCGGCCTCTCGCTTTTTGGTACGATGCTTAAACATCTAAGCCACACACCTCCGGGACGTCATATTATATGACAGTTGATTTTGATGGTTTTCATACAATGTGTAAAAAGCTTTTCCTCCAGTTGGAGGTCAAATTTTTGGAAATTTTAGACTTGAAAGGCAGATAATTAAACATTTTAGCTTCGCAGCTTGTACGATTTGGATTGTGCGTTAAAATAATGTTTTTTATATATGATTCAAATAAACAACCAGACAAACAAAATCACACAAAAAGTGACGGGCAGATAAACATTACATGTTCGAGTCCTTTTGAATGGCTAACTAAAGAACTTGTTCCGGTTAAAGCACGGCAATACGTGCTTGTACATATAGAATCTTCTATTACACAGTATAGGACAAGCCCAATAAAATATTATTGAAATCTGTAATAGATAGTTAATATAATTTTACGTGCATAGAGACGACTACAAAACAATTTCCAAATTTTTGTCCGCAGGAGACAATAATTCAGACTTAAAAGAAAGCAATACTTTGTGGACTTAGAGGAGTCGAACAGTTAGCCCTATTTGGGTAGTTAAAGCTGACAAAAAAGCGAAGCTGGCTATAAAATGGTTTATATTACATAGTAAAAAGCAATTTTAGAAATAAATAGCTTTGAGAGTGAGAGTAGGCTGCGAATGGTGATACATGCTTGTAAAACATGCAAAAGCTACCCATTTAATAGTCCAAAACTTATTGAGTACACAGACTTCGTTTAAGCACTTGAGTCCGAGCGGACGCTTTTATGACACACATTTTTAGGCCGGAAGCGTGCCCCGCGGCGCAAGGTGAGTCCCAACTGGGGAACCGCGCGCCGGTCTGGGAACGGAAACTGACGTTTTCTTAGACTTTGGCCACAATATGCTACCGACGGCCACTGATTGGTACCTCGTAAATGACTGCAGTCCGCTGGAGGTTATAAAGTGTTCAGGTTTGGCAATTTGGACCAAGATACTAGCTAGCATCCTTAAATAGCCAGACAGCCTTAGTTAGTCATTAGTGGACTGTGGCTTGCACCATGGCCAAGTGCACTCCGAAGTTGTTTTTATAAAAATTTTTGACCCGCTAATGCATCTATTTGCAATAAAAAAGTCAATTGAATGTTAAATGTTGAGCAACAAAAAGCCAATTAACTACAACATTTAATGCTTGACCGAAATTTTTGAAAGTCTTGACTATGTACTAAAATTATTGTTTTTCGGGTGCCGGCAATTTAAGTTCTTTCGGTATAATTGTGTACTTGGTTAAGTAGGAATAAGGACCCGTTTTGCTGGTTACGATTAGTCTTGCTGCCGGTCCAAAGTAAGCACGTTTTAGGTCATCTTTTCCTGTAAACTGGCCAGGCCCCGTTTCTTCCACAATTTGCTCAAGCAAATTTCCCGCACGATCAGGAAGTCTGCATGCAAATCATTGAATGAATCAATTATTTAAAAATATTAAAAATCAGCAGACAACTAACAAAATTCTGTATACGTTATCATGAAGGTGTTCGAGCTGAACCGTTCTCTCGTTGGCTACCTCGACAGTATTAACATTTTGGGGTCCCACTTTATCTGGTACTGGCGACGACAGGACCAAGTTCACAATTGTAAAAAGAAGTACCTGAAGATATTATGAATAAATTTCAATATTTGACAAATCGGCTACTCACAGGGCTAAGTGAAATTCCAGACATATTGTCGTCGGCCTTTTTAGATTAGTGCCTCAAATGTCTTTAAGAAAAAAATGTTGCCCATTTTATAGGTTTTACCGCTCAGGTGAAACGCATCGATTCGATAAAGTTATTTAATTATACCGTAGCAGAATATATGGCTGGCGTGCATAAAGAATCTCAAGGTCGTTGAGGAAAAACTAAAATAGTTTGACTTAGCTTTTAGAGCTTGGCGAATAAAAAGTACTTAATGTGTGCTAATGAAATCGGGACACTTATAGGTTCATATAATTCAGCAATATGTTTCTGCGACAAGTCAATTGAACAAGAGGCATATATTCGTAAAAACAATTCAATTTTATAAAATAACTTCAAATCAACTTTTTGCAGATAGCCGAACACATCAAATAGAAAAAGAAATAAAATAAACATTTATTTTCTTGCTACGATATCCGTAATAAAGAATGACTTTTAACCAATGTAGATGTGCAGATAGACGGACATATTTAATATATATATATATAGTTCAGAAATGAACTATTTTCTTCTTACGATATTCATAATAAAGAATGATTTCAAACCAAGTTTTGATTTGCAGACAAACGAACATTTAAAATATATATGTTATTAGGAATTCTGCACTATATTTTATTGCCTACAAGATTTATGGCAAGGCTTTCAAACAATTTATTATGTAGGCATTATGTGCAGGCATTTAATCTGAACCGGACGTTTGCGCTTCTCTCCCCTGATCTTTTACTGGCTGAATATACTGATATGTGCCATATGCCTTGGCGTCACCTTTATCAGCAGCTGCTTTGTGGGTAAGGAATAGTCTGCCATATGGACTAAATTGTGGTTGGCTTAGTTGGCCCCTCACTTCATATTGGTTGGCGTTGGTCTTCTCCACAATTTCTTCCAGTATAGATCCATCTGAATGTTTAATTCTATAAACAAATCAGTCAATGTATGGACCCATAGATACTTAAATTCCTTTTTGCTTGAAACAAACCTTAGCTGGTATTTGTTATAACCAATTGGTTGGATCTCAACGCCATTAAGAGAAACACTCGGTACCAGTCCCGTCATCGCCAAGTTGGCAATCAGAATCAGAACCAACTATATAAATATTTAAGATGGTCCAATCAGTGCTAACTCTTCAGGAATGGTGTAACTTACCGAGCTAAGCAGAATTCTCGACATGTTCTCATCGACTTATTTCGATCAATGGTTCTAAATAAAAGCATTTATGCCCGTTTTATAGATTTTGTCTGGCAATTCGAATACAACGGATCGATTCTTCATAGCTAATGCTAGAACTCAGACGTGTCTAACAAATGACAAGGTTGTTGAGAGCAAATAGAATACTTTGGCTACGGTTTTTAAATAGTTAAACAATATTTATGCAATACCGTTATACGCTGCCTTTGACCTGGAACGTGTAAAATCACTTTGTCATACACATAACGGTTCATTGCAACTATTATGCAAACGGGTTTGAGTTCTCTACTCGAGAGTCCCTGACTTAAAGTCTCTTAAAGTCTCTAAGGCTCAGAACCTTACTGTGGATAGAATGAGATCGCCGTCGGGATCAGGCGATATTTCATTCCTTCCTTCTTTATACAATTTTTAAGTATTTTCAATTGAAATATGTTATGGCTCACAGTCCCAAATATTTGCACTTCATGCATACATATATACCGAAAATTCTACAAGCTCTGACATCAGCCAAAGTCAGCATGGAATACTTAGAGTCCGCTTCCTCTGGCAGCTCATCGTTGCTTTCAAACAGCTCAACTATAAATCTAAGCCCCTTGCCAGCCACATCTTTAGACTAACTGTCCGGGCGTGCACGCATTGCTGTGAGCTTTGCGTCTGGCTGGCAACAGCCTTTGCCCGGAGCACCCACAAGCAATTGCAGACGATCGGAAGATGAACCCGGGGCGGCCGCTGCGAACATAGTTGATGATGCCAGCTGACCTTAATCACAAATTTGCATGCGCATTGGGGCCTCGAGCCCAACAGAGCCGCCAGACGGAGTCAGGCGGACAGAAATGCAGTTGGATTCGAAAACGCATGCAGCTGCAGCAGGTGCAGTCGTTGCAGTTGTTGTGGAGTTAGAAAGAATTCTTGCTACAGCCGCTACACCCACACACGACCTTAGCAGCTCATTGATTTCAATGGCCTCATGCCTGCAATTTAAATGCATTGCGAGCTATAAATTAATGCCAGACAATTGCATATTTTCTAAGGTCGCTTGAGCAAGGAGAAGCCCGTTGTAGCTGCCCCAGTGCCTGGGAACGGGCAACACCCGCAATTGATTTTTATTTATTTATACAAATATAAATATATAATTTATATATACTTTTTTTTTGGGTGGTTCGGCGTTGTTCTCCGGTGACTTGCAGCTGCAGTGCGCAGCAGCTTGATTTATGCGACAAAAGCTGCAATGAAGGCCGTGGCTCATATGGCAAAAAATTGTCAACAGAGCGGACCATAAAAGCCGAGCGCCGAGATACGAGCATGATACCAGACTACACTAATCAACACGTATTGATCATATGCAAGTGGTCAGCAGTCCATGGAGCGACTGTCTATTAATTAAGCAACAGCAGCAAGAGCAACAGCGGCAGCGGCAGCAAAAACTTAGCTGCCGTTTTGGTCACCACACGTTCACCCAGCTACAAATTGCTATTGCCACTTTGGTGCGCCAGCCACTGAATCTTTGGCCAGTTGGATGCAGGTTTATGCGACCAATATGCTTATCGTGGCGGCATAATCGCCAATTGCAAGCGCTGAGGGCAATGAAAATGGACTGAGATGCCATTCCTGGCCGCCAGGACGGAATAGGACTGGGCGGTGCTGGGGGTAGGCCAATGATGAGGCAATCTACAGCGCATAACTTATACGCAATGCGTTTCCTCCTGACCACTCATAAATGTGACAGTTTTACCCAGAACAGTTTCTATGGATATGGCATTTAAGTACTATAAACCTTTTCGGTCAGCGGGCTTTTAGCCCGGAACGTAAGGAGCAAAAATGGGAAATTATGGTCGAGTAAATCGTAAATGGAATAATGGAATATGCAAAAGAACACTTGAGCAAATTAATTAAATTATATTTAAAAAGTTTACTTACCTGCACATAATCTTCGATCTATCAGATATGTAAAACGGAAATAGGTATCCCTGAAAAAAAGGAAACGGGAATTACAAGAGTGCTTGGAAATTTTTAAATGGGAGTAAGAATGGAAAGACACTTAATTCACCCGGGCTCAATCATATTTTGATCTATGGCAAGCCTGAAGCAAACAGAATCATTTAAAAATGTTTGGGCTGCCATTTATTTCATTTGACTCTTAGTTTGCCATTCTCAAATCAATTTGAAACAAACTTGCGGCCAGTTAACGACAAATGACATTCAAAAAGCTATGAATTTTATGCGCAGTCTATCGCAGCATGAATGGCGCGGCATTATGCGGGTGCTTTTCGCTAGGCCAGTTAACAGCCAACAGCAGGCCCGGCCAAGCTGGTTTCGGCCCCGTTCCGTCTGATGTTTCCGTCTACGTCTCCGTCTCCGACCTGCCCCAAGGCGCAGTCCGGTGTAATTAATGCGGCAGCAGCTGCGCTTTGCGCTCAGCCCCTACGCCCCTCAGCGCTCCTCGCTTATCTGACGCTTGCATATTAAAAATCTTTATAGTCTTTTGCGGTTTGTCTTTGAGTTGTTTCTTTTTTTTTTTTTTCTTTCTTTTTTTTTGGCATCTATTCGATTTAGAAAATGTCGCATTGGGTGCGTGAGTGTGGGAAACCTACAGCAGGCGGGTGCGACGGACATGAACGATACCAATCGCAAGCGCCCGCCTGGCGCTGCCAAACGGAGCGCAGCAGCCGCGCAGACGATTGGAATCGGCGAATGACAGCGTTGGTGGCTTCCTCCTACAAGTTTCGCTGTTTGGCTCTTTGACAGCAATTTTATTTAATTTCTGTACTGATGGTACACAAATGATAAGAGCACTCAGCTTGGCTAAAATTGCATTTCATTTGCGCCCAGAAATTTATACAGAGACAGCTAGAGGTTATGCAAATGGCCAACGGGCAGCGTCGAGGTGCACCACCTGCCCTGGTGATCTGCGTCAACATGATGCAAGTGCAGGTTGCTGCCGTGTGGCCCATAAAACAAGCAAACAACACCAACAAAAATACAACGACGTTCATACACACTCTCCCTTTATTTGGAGATACCTTTTGTATCTTTTGTAGAAATCATTGCATAACTGTCGGATCTATGTTCCGATAGCTGCAACTCTATAAAAATTACCTCAATAATAATAAGTTCCCTTTCGAGCACTCAATAGACACACAATCTGTTAAGCTGTGATATGAATAAAATAAAATCTCTTACCACTTAGACAAATTCACCACACAGACAGCTAGAAATGAGATCTATCATGATACCTATGAAATTCATCTCATGGTTGAACTAACTTTCTTTGAGACCAAAACATTATACCCTCAATTGGGCATAACAAGTCTAGAGTCTCGGCCCCAAAAACAAGAGCGTCCAATTTGTGTGGCTTGTCGTAAAGTTTTTTCGAGGCAGCAGCTCCTGCAACGGCAGGCATTCATTTGGTTTTTATGAGGCGGCATGCCAGGACGACAACATCGCACTCGTCGTCCACGAGGTCGTTCGTCTAACTTGATTAGAAGCAACGACCAGGTGGCAAGTTTGGATGCTTCTTCCATCTTGCTGTGGCATGTCCTGTTGATTTACGCGTGTGCTTATTGCATTTTTGCCCCACGTGCTCAGCCAACACCCACAAGGCGACCACCTGGCTGAGACAAATCGTTCGGCATTTTTTAGTTTGTCAAAATGTTTAACCCGTTAATTGTGCGATTAATCGCTGCATTAGGCGCTGCCAGCAGCCACTAAATCAACAATTGGCAACGCAAGCGCACTTGCAGCGAGATGCATGCTGTATCGGCTTGTGGATACCAATTTGTTTGCCACATGGGCAATTACGCAAGCAGCCCGCCAGCTGCCCACAAAATCAATGCCCCCTTGCTGCATCAGGCATGCAGGGGGGCAGCTAAACAATAAATAATGAAGCGAATCAGCGGCACGTAACAATCGAAGGGGAGACGACGCCCGATTCATCAGCGCCCATCAGTTGCAGCTGTGGCCAGGTACAGCCTTGATCGTGCCGCACAGCTTTTGTCAACGTCCAAAGAGAGAGAGAGAGAGGGAAATAAAGAGAGAGAGAGAGAGACAGAGAGAGAGAGAGAAAGAGACAGAGATGCCCGCTCCTCGTTGATTGCAGCTGATATACATCAATATTTAACACTGGCAGGTTGTAAAAATCGAGGCAACGGCTACTTCAGTTCTTAGCACCTGCAATCGAAAAGGCATCTCCACATCATCAGCTTTATTAAGCTGTAAAATGCGTAACGGATTAAATGTGTAGCACGACGAAACGAAAATACCCTTTCAAATTCAATTTCTCTTATATTACACAAGCAAGATGCGGCTCGCATAAGAAATTCACATATTCTTAACATGAGAACCGTTGAGAAAAGAGAAACAGCCAAACCTAAGCCCACAATAAACCATATAAAATAAAATAATAACAATTACAGAATTTTGGATCCGAAAAGCAACAAGAGCTATAGGTAAAGCCAAGAATTATCTCATGGTTTCTGTTTCAAAATAGGAAATTTAATAAATTCCGATAACATTTCAGAGCTACTCCGAATGGTTCACAATTGAATCGGTGGTTCTGCTTGGGATTGGTTAAAGCTTATGGCAAAATGTCAACGCTCTGGCAAAAAAAAAAATAATCTTAAATAAAGCCTTACACAGCTGCGCTCTGGTCTGTCAGGGCTAATTGATTACGCGCTCGAGCTGCTACCGAAGGGTACGCCAAAAACCAGAAAACATAGACTTACACTGGGACCCTGCTCTGATGCAGATGATTCCCAGACGTAACGCCGGCCCGGCCCAGCCCCGTCTGATCTGGCTTGGCCCAAACAGCGTGTGAAGTCGGCACGAAGCCTTGACAGCTGACCGATGCTTGGGAATCCAATGTGGCACCTGAGCTACGCATTGATTGAGAACTGAAAGCGTGGAGTGCATTGCGCATACGCCGCGTGCATCAATGTTGAATGGACGTCGACAGACGTCAACAACTGCTGCAACTCGATATGAAACAATTTTTAATAATTGACAATTAAACTAACAATAATTGACAATAAATATTAAAGTGGCGCTGCAATTAATGGCGCGTTTTAGCCATATAAGTCGGCGCTGGTCGTGGCTCGTCATCGCCGGTCGCGGCTCAGTGGCACGGCGGCTCAACGTCAAACGGAGACCGCCTGACAGTGTGAGAGCGTCTCGAAAGAGAGCACCGGCTTAATATAACTCAATTAGCTGAGCGCCAGAGCCGATAAATCAATCACGAGAACAGCGCCCATAATCAGAGCAACAACACTGAGAAGTTATCAGACAACCCGCGGCTTGGCACCTGGCTGAGACCGCAGCTCCGACCTGGAGCCGAACTGAGGAGCAAGTTTAGTTGATGATTTGCGTGCCGCGCTGCCATTTCTCAGAGCATCGTCCAACGCAGCCAACTTCCGGCGCGATGCGGTTCCAACTGCAGGTCCGTCTGGAACGCCGCGGCTCGCTCTGTTTGGCTTAATTGAAACATTTTGCGTAAGCGGTCAGACGAGGTGGGAGGACTCTCCTCTCCCTCCTCTGATGCGACAGCACCTTACTTTACTTGACTTTACTTGACTCAAGTGGCGCGATGCACCCACGCAGCATTTTGTTGGACTCACTCAACTTGGACAAATCCCGTCCAGCTACGGCCACAGCCACAGCCATAGCCAGGGTTACATCTTTGGTTTCAGCTCCATTTGGAGTACGGCTTGTCACAAATTGAAAGCTACAAGCGGCAAGTACACGATTTATGTGGGCCGATGAGCAACAGCATTAAACGAAAGTGCCCCTTGATGCTGATCAGGGCATAGGCACTTGGGTGGAGAGCTGGGGGGGTAGTCAACAGATTTTCAAATGCAGCGTTCGGTGCAGACCAGAGTTAATCCAGGCACATCCAGCGACATGACCATGAACGCCGCCGCCAGTTTATGGCATTTTAATGGTCACTTAATTTTGTTTATGTTTAATGGGCGCGCCTGTGGCAGCTGCCTGTGGCTCCGATTGTGCCTGCAGTTGGAGCTGCGTCGTATATTGATTGCCGATTAACGTACCAGGTAGCCGAATACATGGGGACGACGCCATTGTTCGCAAATTGCGCATATAATTTCTAGATGTGGCAGCTTTGTTAAATATTTGAGCAAAATTCGCGATTTTAATAAGCTCTCTCAAACGGCACTGGGCCTGTCCCTGGCAACTTTCCCACAGCGGGCTGGCAAACTAAGCGGCAATCTATGGAGAATTAACAAAATCATAAAGCAAATAGTATGATCGTATACCACATTGCAGGCCCAGTCCAAAGCTCAAACACCAGTCCGAGCCCAAGCTTGGGCAGCCAGCTCTAATGATGATGAGCACATCGCTTTTTGCAAGCAAATTGCAGGAGCGTTATTTCCTTTGTCGGCTCACACCTCAATCTTCAATTGTATATAGCTCCAAGTCCCACTCCTGCCCCAGCTCCAACTGCAGCCCAAAGCTGGACCATGTGTGCGTCTCTGCCTTCGCAGCGTATCAGCTGCAGCAGTCGTAATGATTTATGAATGGCAATTTCAGCGATATTTTATTGCATTTTAATTAGTGTAATATCAATTTGGGCCGAAGACTTTATAAGGCTGAAAGGGATAGAAGAAACCACAAGAGCCAGAGATAGAGATAGAGATAGAGGACCAGGCGCCCTTTTGCGCTTCAGGGGAGTTTCTAACAACTTTCGGAGCATTCATTAAAATTGATTTAACAACAGCAAAAATCGCACTTTCTTGTCAGCGGAAAATGTGGATTCATCACCCTTCTCCAATCTTCTAACCCCGAGCGAGGGCCACACCCACTGCCAACAACGGCAACTAACGACGCGTGTCGTCGCAACGCCCACACGTGCTACATAAATTTTGCAATTTAATAACTCTTAAATGCATGTAAATATGCAAACACAATAATGTGCAACATACATATATATATATATAGTTTGAATGTCGCATATCGCATATGGGGACCAGCGGGCTCCTCCACACAAAATTAACTGGAAAATTGGTAGGAAATCGCTGAAAAGCAGCTCTGGGCGAGCCCATACGCGAGTATCATGTGCAGTTGTATTTAGATAATATATTTAAAGGGACTTAGAATGGAAAAAGTTGAAACACAAATAAAATGGATCCTTGAGTTGAAATATGCTCGAAAGAATTATAATTAAATTGCTTGAAATTAAGTTAATTTCCTTGAAATTTATAATAAAGACAATAAATAAAAAATTCGGAAATGTGCGTAGGAAACCCACTAAGCTAATCCTTTTTAGAAGTATTTAAATATTTTTTTTTGGAAGTTGTAGATAATAATACAAAAAACCTTTAAGATGTATTTATTTGTACAATCTTTCGGCAGGCATATGAATCATATTACAATTATAGAAGGTTGCCCGCTGAACTCGTTCGTAACTTCAATGTGTCCAGAGTCAATAAAGTAAACAACTTGGAGTTTGTATATTCCACACTGAGTCATATGATCGTTAATGACCCAAGCTTGATATCATTTTAATTGTTTTGTCATTTAACAAACATTCTAAAACGTGATCATATTTCAGCATTGTCATAAGCTGCTACGATTCCCACTTGTATTCCGTGTTTAACTAACAAACCGCATATCGTGCAACAAAGTAAATGATGCAAAGCATAAAGAAAGAAACTGAAACCCATACAAAAGTCATCTTTCTTCTGCTGGCAAAACGATGACAAATTGCATGAAATAATATAAATTTTCAGTCAAGACAGTAAAACTGTCTGGGCTGGAGGCCTCGAGTGCGGCAGCCCCAAGCTGAAAGCTGCAAGCTGTAAGCTCCATGTCAGGGCCTGGTGTAGACTCTGTGGCAAGTAAACTGTTGTTTTTCACGACGACGCTTGTCACATTGTCCACCCACAAGAGCAGACGACAGAGCAGGCTAGACCGAAGGCCTCGGACAGCCTCGGACAGATCCGGACAGACTTGGCCAGACAGCAAGCAGTTGCTCTGATCTCATAGGAGTCGAGAAATTTGCATAATTTGCTGTTAAGGATTGTTTCCGTGCCCGTCTAGGATCACCCACGCCTGCCTCACTTGCCTCAATGGTGACTGGCAGTTACCAGTTGCCAGTTCCCAGTTGCCAGTTGCCCGTTGCCAGTTGCCGGTTGCCAGTCGACTGCCAAACGCCCGTTACTGAACGGCGGAGTCAGTTATGATTGCATCCAAGTCAATTACCGACACCCGCATGGCGTTGCATGCCGCCGCTGCCCACATGCTGCCGCATGCAGCAATCTGAGAAATGAACCCCTTTCGATGCGTTTGTTGCATAAACAATGACAACAAATTGATCGCAGCAGCTGAGCAGCTAGCTCATTAGCGTGTTCATTAAACCCGGCCACTTGCTTCTTGCCGCCACATGCGATCAATAATTGTTGAGATTTTCATTTAATTTGTTTAAATTAGCGCAGGCGACGCAATTTTCCCCACTGCTCGCCGCCACTTAATAAATCTTAGTAAATTTATCGTTATCGCCTAATAAAATGTCACTGCCGATGTCACAGACATGTGATAAATTGAAAGCGCCCAGCATTTGAAAATAGCAAGCAATTAAGAGCAGCAGAAGCCGCAGCAGCCGTGGCAGCCACTGACCATGCCACAGAGACAACACCTTCAACTTCAGCATCAACTTCAACTGCAACTTTATGTGGAACAGCAACAGGACCAGGCCATATCAAAGCATCTCTCAGTCAGCGGCAACGGCGGCAGAATCGTCTGATTGCAGCAACATGCTCGAAATTACTTTTCTGTGTAAACTGTGGCACACACACACATATACACACTCACTGTCTCTCTCACACACACACACACGCACACACAAAAACGAAACAAAACGGGTAACAACAATAATACAAAAGAGTTAGATGAATTCAAAAGTCCGAATATTTTACACCCTTTTGCAAATATTTATACAGAGATTTATTAATAATGATTTATCTAAATGAACTATTATTTCAATGATAAATAATTTTAATTAAGAATGAATAAGATTGATTATTCACAATTCGTCATAAAACATGCTAATTGCCTCAAAGGACACACCTATTGGCATTTGATTACAGAACTAACTGCAATGAGGCCTAACAGAGGGATTTGGCATCAAACCTATCCTATAATTGCCTAGATCTCGAATTCAAATCAATGGAGTTGCATTTAATTGTTTTAATGCCTATTAAAGGAAATAACAAATGTTTAGGAATGTAAATAGCATTTACTTAAATAAATAAATATGCTAAATGTCAACCTTTTATAATATATAATAATTATAATATTCAATAATATAAAAATATGATAAACTTGTTATTTAAACATATTTAACTTAAGTAGAGTCGTAAAAATCTATCAAAGTCAAACCAAAACGTAATTATAATCAAAATATAATTACAAAAGTTTCTTTGAATGAGAAAATATTGTTATTCATTCGCTATTGCTACTTATATACCCAAGGCAATATAGCACATTTCAGGACTGTATAAATACTATTTATCCCGCTGTTAAATCGCGCTAATCAGTAATCTTTTAATGCCTAATAATCTCATAAGTCCAGAATGGAAGCTTATGTATACATTACTTATTGTTGATAAAATACGCTGGAAATCATGTAATCATATGCGAGTCAGGCATACCCAAACACATACCCTCACTCCCACCTATACGCAACCGTATAGCCATTCCAGATATCGCAGTCTTGAAGTTGAACAATTTCACACACTCTTCACGGGGGCAGGCGGCAGCGGCAGCGGAGGCCGCGATAAGCGGGAATTAAATAATTTTACACTCCATGCGATTATCGGCAGCGATTGCGATGGCAATACGGATACAGTTTGTGTATGCTAACGAGCAGGCAGCTATAATTGGCCCAGGCCCGACGAAGATACGGATACATTTACAGACGCATATACAGATACATTTGCTGGCAGAGATACTCGCACAGACAGATTCGCAGCCACATCCTCTCGGGCGAGGCAAACATGGCCACGCGCTTGGCCGGGAGTCAAGTAATTGACAAACAAT